TTCCCAGTTTCACCCCCATCATTGGTGGATTTAAGTTCTGCTTTTGTCTACTTTCCACTACCCCTGAGAAGTCTTATGTTACCTTTTGCACCAGCCACTTAAAACATTTAGATGAAAACAAGTTTATTCTAGCATCGAAAACAGTAAAGTTTTTAAGAAATTGAAGAAGTAGTTTGTGTGCAATTTCTAAAATCCTTAGAGTTAGAAATCTATTTTTATGGTATTGACATTTCATTAAAAATGGATTGTTATGTGATGAGATTTCTGTAATTTCTACAGAAGTAGCTAGTTATGTGGCATTTTTCCCTTGGTTTCAGTGCCCCAACAATTATAAGATATAATACTTTAATATCTACTGATAATGAAGAATGTAATCTTTCTTCTCCACATTATAACATATTCTGCCTTTTGCCATGAGGAAAATTACGCATTACATTGGAAATTTTAACATTTTCAGATTTCTCCTTTAATATTTTAAGGCATGAAAAGACATTGTTACAGCTTAGATCTGGAAAGTCTCCCAAGAACTCATATGTTGAAGTCTTCATCCCAATGCAGAAATGTCCAGAAGTGGGGCTTTGAGGAAATAAATTGATCATGAGGGCTTTAACCTCATTAGTGGATTAATCCATTAAGTAGATTAATAATTTGAATGAACTATTGGAGGTTATGGAAACTTTAGGCAGATGGGGCACAATTGGAGGAGGCCAGTCCCAGGGGAACATGCCCTTAGGAACTATCTCTTGTCCTTGGCCCTGTCTCTCTCACCCTCTCCCCTCTCTGCTTCCTGGCTGCCATGAGCGAGCAGCTTTCCTCAGACATACCCTTCTGCTAGGATGTTCTGCCTCACCTCAGGCCCAAAGGGAGACTACCAACTATAGACTGAAACCATGAGCCAAAATAAGCTTTTCCTCCTCTAAGTTGCTCTTGTCAGGTATTTTGGTCATGGTGATGAAGAGCTGACACAGACATCATGGTGCTCTTCTGTTTTTACATGCAGGTTCAACTTACTTGAAACTGAATACTTGTTTACTAGGAGGTTTTATGTTAGTAGAATGTTCATGAGTGCTACCTTAATATATAATAGAAATGGCTAGGGAAAGGATTTACATGGTTAGTACTCTCAGCAAAATAAAAATTCTTGTATTCAAAACATTAATAGCCTCTATAAAGGGGCTCTACTGTTTTAATTTGGGTTTCTATAACCTGGATTTCTTAAAGTAAGCCTAGACAGCTTATTTGATTCAAACAAGAGTTCATGCTTGAAACTAAATGAAGGTTTCATGTATATTTGGGTTTTCAGGGGGAAAGACAAGTCATGCTATCAATAAGATCCTAAAGGGAGATCCTTAACCCCATCAAAAAAGTCTAAAGAATTTGGGAGTGACAGTTCACTACTGATAAAACTAAGGCCCTGTACCTTTCTCCCTCCCTGGTGCACCCATTCTGCATTGGATCCTGGCCAGCTACGCTGCACATTAGGACAGAGTCAGAATGATTCTTCCCTAGAATCTTCTGAGAGACCACGGCCCTCTTGCACTTCTACCCTCTAGAACTAAGAGAATACATTTCTGTTGTTTTAAGCCTCCCAGTGTGAGATACTTTGTTCCAGAGCTTTAGGAAACTAATGCAGCTGCTAATAATATAAGCCTGAAAAAGTAAATAAATCAGGTTGCTTTGTTTTTGTTTGTTTGCCCCTCAAGTAATAAAGTCCATGCAGGTATGGCAGCTCCATGAGTTACCCTAGGATCCTCCTCAAACTGTGATCTTCAACCAAATGCTTGGAAGGCAACTTTTGGAGCTCCTACAAGCATTTCTGGCAGGCAAACTGCGGGGGAAGTCAAAGTCCAAAAGGCCTGAGCTGAGTCAGTCAGTTGCCAGGAGGAGCTTTCCCAGAAACTCCACCCAGGAACTAATCTACATTTCATTGGCCAGAGTTGTGTCACATGACCAACCTCAGCTGAAGGACAGGTGCCCAGTGCTGCCCTTTAAAATCAGTTGTACTGGTGCAAATGGAGTGGAGGGTGGAGTAGGGCCAGCCTTCTGACAACTCTACCACCTCCTCAGGCCTCCAGGCTCCCTGGCTGCTTGTGCTCTTGCCAAGAGAGCTTTACAACAAGGAGCACTCAGACCTGCCATGAAAGACAAAAAGATTTCTATCATTTTATCTTCCCAACCTACCCCTATAAGTGTCACTATTGCCAATCTTGAGTATATGATTTGTGGGAGGTTCACAGCAAAACAGAGCATTCAAGAGAGTCTGGCTAAGACCTCCTGATTCATAGTCCCAGGCAATATGACCAGTATGGTCAGGCAGTGTAACCAATAAGATTTTAGAAGGTCTCACGTAGATACTTCTATAATGAGATTGTAAATCTGTGTAAACTCAGGTGTACAAAATCTTGCCATAAAGTTCCATTCTCACTAGTGGCAGTCCAAGGGCTTAAAGGACAGTTGAAGACAATTCAGTCTTTTACAAGTTAGGCGTTTCATCTAAGCCAGTGCCCACTGTTAATTTTTTCTTCTCCCTGCCACGATAGTGCCAGGGTTCTGGGATGGACTCACTTGTTTCCTTGGTGTTTAAGGAATGGCCTCTGAATGCCTAGAAGGTCTTTGCTGGCCTCTAAGGAGAGCTCTGTCCCTGCATATTTGGGGGCTCTATTAAAGCAAAAGTAGCCTTTTCAATCTTCTAAAATGCCTGCAGAACTGTTCTTGTCAATTTTTTGCAGTTGGTTGTTGTTAATATCTTGTGGATTGTTTTGTTTTTTATTGAGAGAACAATTTGTTATAGGCTTTTAAGAAAACCAAAAACATTTGCTCTCTAATTATGTCTATTATTTCATTCAACTTGCTTTCTTGTTGTAGAGCAAGACTTTCTATTAGCCAAGAACTTCAGTCAAGTTTTCCCAATAAATAAAAGCTGCTTTTCTCTGTAGTATGTAAGAGGACTTGTCAGCATGTTATAGATTCATTTTTACTGAAGATTCTAGTAAATTATCAGGCTGGAAGCATGTTGATGGAATCAGTTTGCTTTGCCCCTTACTGGGAATATTTTTTGGAAATATTTAGAATACCAGTGTTTTTTTTTAATGTTTCTATAAGTGCATTACAATTATACGTAATAATGGGATTCATTGTGACATATTCATATATGCACAAGATTTGTTCCAGTTCATTCTCTGGTACTTTCCTTTTCCCTTTACTTCTCCTTTCCCCTACTCCCCCCTTCTTCTGTTCTTCCAGTCTGTCTTCTATTTATTTATATGTATTTTTTCCTTGGCTCATTGAAAAAGTGGTACATTGTGGTACATTCGTGCATGCACATAGCATAATTTAGTCTACTTTATGCCCTAGTTCCTCCCCTTTCCCTCTTTTCTCCCCTTCCTCGATCCCCTATCTCTACAGCTCGCTCGCTCTCCTGTTTTCATGAGGTTATCCCCACCAGTGTTTAATTTTTTTTTCTCTCTGGCTCCTAAATATGAGGAAAAACATTCAACCCTTGAATCTGGCTTACTTCACTTAGAAGACTGTTCTAATAATCTAAGAATTTATAATAATTTTCAAATAATAGTGTCTTGAAATATATGTTCCAAGAGTGTTCATTCTCTCATCCATTCAGTGAATTCTTATTGTGTATCTGTAATGCCTCAGGCATCATTTTGTGCTTGCCCTGAGCAAGCATGTCTTGGAAGTTCTGTCCTCTTGGGGGAGAAGGAAAACAAATAAGGCAGCACCTATAGGCAATGATGCCAGAGAGGACTAAATAGGTGGTGTAGCAGAACTAGACTGGGACTTGGGTCAACTTTGGTTTGCTCTGAGGATACAGTGCCAAAGCAGAAAGTTGAACAATAAGAGGGTGGCTAGTCTGCACAGACTTGGAGGCAGAATCTTCAGTACAAGTGTGCTGGCTCTGCGTCTGGGCACTGAGCAAGCAAGGGTGATATATTAGCTATGGTGGCTGTAGGGATAGGCTGGAACCTAGGAGTTTCAAGTAGAGACTGGGACAGCGTTGTTGAATAAGAGTATATCATGTAAGACTTTGTAACTGGGGCTGTTTTTTAAGGCCACAGGAAATACAAAAGCAGTATGAATGTAAATCTCAGTGTAGCGATTTTCAAATTGGTGTCCTTATTGGTCTCTTTATTACACTGTTTTAATTGTGCCTTCCAGCCCCCACCACATTCTCCTGTGCATTCCCAGAAGGAGGGGGCTTTCACTCAACCCACTGAGCTCCCCTAAGAATCCCACCTCATTAAGTCACAGTCTCTCAAAGGGTTGTGTGCATCCTTCAGGGGTGTGGAGCACCAGGGCCACTGCATGTGTGGGTAACTGGGTGTGATGCTGATTCTGAGGATCAGAAGCTGGCTGGATGTGTCCCTCAGGTCAGGTCTGGGAAAAAGTCTCTTCATGTGGCTCTGAACCTCCTAGAGGATGAAGAAACAGGTCCTGTGAAGATGGTAGCTGAAGGCGTGCTGACTTTGTAAGCATCGCCACCTAAGCACAGCCCCTAGTGCCGTGAGTTTCTCCTCTTAATTTTGAAATGAAATGGCAACGAGGTTAATAAATCCTTAGAGACAATGTATTAATTTTAGTCACCTGGGGATAACTCCTCTTTAGTGAGAAAGGTAATACCAAGGAACTCCAGCAGCCTAGGAAACTAAAGCTAAAATGTTTCCTCTTAGAGACTGGATGAATGCTTCAGGCCGCTGGCCATGTAGTACATCAAGAAATGCCCTGGACTTTTAGGAAGTAAAGATAACAGCTGCCATTATCAGAGCACATTGATGGAACACTGGAGGGAAGGCGCCATACCAGGCTGTGCATGCAGGCCTAGTGCTGTCCTCTCTGCTCCCCACCTACAGTATGCAGAGCATCCCTGGTGGGAACAATTGCTCTGAAAGTTGGCAGAAAAACTCCCAGGCTTGTCTAAAGTTACAAGGTAGCAATATGTAAATTATACTCAAAGCATTAGTCATAAAATGTCATTCTTCTATTTTCAGTAAATATTCAAGATGTGATATTACAAGAAAATTTGGAAAAAGAAGATCAAATTCTGGTTTCCCTGGCAGGATTAAAACAGGTATTTGCAGTACTCTGATACTATTTGTGTCACACAGGCCACCCATTTGGTGCCTGCTCTGGGGAGGGCACCTTAGAATATGGAATGCCATGATATTAGAGCCAGTATCTCCCTACCCCCAATATCCACCCCTTACTCCTTCTAGTGATTATGTCTGACAAGCTGGCAGCTCAGAGGTGGTTCATTGGAGCTAGGTGTGCAGGCAAATGATGCTTCCTGCTTAGGACCGACATACATATCTGACCCTGTGAGAATCTGACCATTAACACCACAAAATTTTCCTTGGTCATTGCTAAGTTTAAAGGGTTGATAAAGTTGAATTTTTCCCCTATTTCTTTTAGTAAAATGTTAACATTCATACTATAGTAGTCACCCCTTAACCTCCAGGACAATACTGTGATCCCAGGGGATGTCTGAAACTATGGATGTGCTGCATGTAAGGTTCAGCACTATGTTTTCCTAAATTCAGAATACCTAGAATGAGATTTGATTTATAAAATAGGATAATTTATACTATAATCCCAGTAATTTGAAAGTGTTCTCTCAAAATATTTTATTTGCCCTTCTTGTGAGAAGAGACAGCACCTATGTGAATGAGTAGGCATGCTGGATATTCCTACGTAAGGGTGACTTGAACACAGGTGCTCTAATACTGTGACAGCTGATGTGATAGGACTGTGCATGATTTTGCTGTACAGATGACTTACATTCTAGGTTGTTTGAAGGGGCAGCAAGAGACTTCACCACACTGCTCAGTACAGTCAACAATGTTTATTTTTCTAGAATTTTCCCTTTAATATTTTCGGACTCCTGTTGACCACAGGTAACTGAAGTCACAGATGAGGGGGAACTGCTGTATAAAAAGGTCAATGACAAGTCTAAACATAGGAGAGGTAACCAGCACTCTAAATACAAACTCATTCATCTTTTTTATTTTATTCTTTGAAAATAGATCAAAGACATTCTAAAAGGTTCCCTGCGTTTCAACCAGAGCCAACTGGAAGCTGAAGAAAATGAGCAGATTACCATCGCAGATGACCACTACTGCTCCAGTGTCCAGGACCAGAACCAACAAGTTCCTGGATCCACCAAGCAGGTACAATGCTGTTATGTGAATGGGCTGACATTGAGTAGAAATTCTTCAACGTTATGAATAAGAAAAACCCTACCAAAGTGTTTCAGATTACCACATATGAAGTTTAAATAAAGCACCACACATAGCCTGAGCCAGGGATGCTGTGTACTGTTGTGCAGGTTGTACACTCCAGTGGTGGTGCCATTAACAACGGTAATGATGAACTAGAGTTCTGCAGTGCTCAACCTGAAAAAACCCACATGTGGCAGCAAGAGCTGCTCTTATTCTGTGAGAATAGAAGACAGCTATCTTAATTGCCTCCATTCTGTTAGCACAGGAAGTACTATCCCTGCTTTCCTAATGCTTTCACTTGGCTAGAACTTGTTCTGCCAAAATCACTTCATCTGTCTTCATGGGGAAGAACTTCATTAAGACAGGAGTCAGCAAACATTTTTTGGAAAGGGCCAGACAGTAAAACATTAGGATTGGCCTAACACATATTCTAACAACCCTTTAAAAATGCATTCTGTGGATGAGGCCTGGAAGCCAGACGTGACCATAGTTTGCTGCTCTTGGATCTCAGTATTATGTAGATTTGTTCTAACATAGAATCCAGTTAGAGAGGATCTTAGCACTTCCTTGCATGCTTTATCCTGCCTCTTCCTCCTTGCAATGAGAAGGCCCCCAGCTCACCAGGTATTGTTTTCAGATTCCCTGCCCGCATCAGTAAGTTTTAGCTCACTGTACTTTATTTCCTTCCTATACCTGAAATAACAGTTTAGATATCTCATCCTGAATGTAAACAAAAGACTTATCTGAAACTGGCATCCAGAAGCTTAGGAGATATACCTTAAGACAGAACTCTGCATAACCTTGTATAAGCTATTTGTCATGGAGCATTTCTAGCTACTTAGTGCAGGTTTCAATTTGATTAGTTCCTTCAAAGTCTCCTTCCCTGCACAGCTGTTTTACTTTTCAAATAGAGCACAGACCCACCATTCTTAATAGGAAATTTGGGGATTTTTGAGACCAGGTCTCAATGAACTGGCTATAATTATGGGAATGTACCACCATGCCAAACTTAACATATTATTTTTAGGTGAATGTGTAAAAATACTATAGACCCTCACCCCCCCCAAAAAAAAAAAAACTTTACAAACACTAATGAATTTACTAAATTTAAAATGTCTTTATTATATTAAACCAGGAACGGTCATTCCTGGTTCTGGTATTTATAAGGACCTGTAATGGACACAATGAGTTCCCCCATTGGTAAATGCAGAGCCCAAAAGCATAAACAGGAGATAAGGAGAGTATCAGGGGTGACTCCCACAACAGAGGCTCTCCTAACAAAGGAAGCAAGGGAATTTTATTGTGGAGATTATGCCTATTCATACCAGAGAGACTTGTAGAGGCGGGCATATTCCTGTGCATGTGCAATTAGAGATCATACTTCTTCATAGAGTCCATGTTTAAATGGCAGGCAGGAACCCCTCCAGGGATGAGAATTTAGCATTATAAGGAACAAAGTTTACTTTGTCTGGTTTAAGCCAATTCCTTATGGACTCAGTGGAAAGCCTTGTTGAGAGAGACACCCTGAAAGGTATTAGCAGTTGTCATTTTTGGACTCTCCTGCAAACACAGGTGCTGGACTCTAAAATTTCAACACAGCTAACAAAACTTCCCCACCCATATCTTTTACTCCTTGTTCATGAAGAGTTTGGAGAGGGAAATCATTTTGTGGAACACCTTCCTCCTGAGTTAGATGAGTGAACTTCACTTGATGTCAAAGGAAGGAACAAAATCAGTAAAACCATAGCTGAAGTATCCTGTGCAATTGTTTTACTGCAGCATTTTGAAGCACATCTGACATAAATAAGATCAGTAAAATGGACATTCCTAATTTGATTAGCCCAGAAAATACAGACTTAACACCCTGCAGGATCCAGGAAAGCAATTCTGAGAACCAGTCATTTATTCCTTGTGCTTCTGGGGATATTTGTTGAAGCCAGGATGCCTGTTTCACAGTGTCCTCAAGGTACGTTTCAACATCAGGAGTGTTACTATAAGAACAACAAGAAAGTACCCATGCTCGTACAAACTACTTTCTCAGATACAGTTCAAAGCTAAGGTAGTGCCTGGTAACCAGATTACTAAAGATTGTCTTCCTTTTTGCTATGTGGAGATGGCCCAGACATGATTAACACCCTGGAAAGAATATCTAATAAGTTTATGGGCTCCTACCTCCACCAGGGCAAGAAGATTCTACTGAATGTATACCAGAATCCATCTTCCTGGTTTTGTTAGTTTTCAGTACCTGAGGAGAAGAAAGATTTGTTTTGGTTCGTGATTTCAATCCAAGGTGGAGAAAAATTGCTCCCTTCAGCCATGTATATGCTCACTGGGGCTCCTTCAGATCCCCCACAAACAAGCAGGTATCCTGTCAGCATATGGGATTCCCAATCAATTGTTTAAACTGAGCTCTGAGTCCCAGGGCAGAGTCTCCAGAATTGGCTTAAACCAGGGTTATGTAACTGGTGGCCTTTGGTCAGTGTTCTGTTTGTTGGGAGCCAAGGTAAGAGTCTGGAGTTATTGAACAAACCTCTAGAGATTTATGTTAGGAGGTTGTGGACTCTGAGTGTTCCAGATATTGAGTCTCAGGTAGTCCATACAAAGGGAAAGGTTTCTGTTACTTCCTTGGCAGGCTCAATCCAGGTATTCCCAGAAAGCCAGAGCCTCATATTGTTGGCTTTCTCTTACAGAGAATCTAACTGAGCTGTTATTGGGAAATATGTTAAATAATTCAGTGACTACAGCAGTATTGATGGGCTCAGGACAATTTATAGCCTCAGGGTATATGGCAGAACTCAAAACCAAGGGAGGATATGTGGAGTTTCGGGTGGTTACCCCTTACTTGGTGCATTAGTTTACTGTGTACTATGATGAAAGACCCATTAAAGTTAAGAACCATGGAAAAAGTGGTCACAAGTAAAACAGAGGAGTCGGGGTGGTCAAAAGGGTTTTGGGTAACATATCCAAGAGTCCATTAAATTCCTGCCTTATCCAGGGTTGGGGAGATTGTTTTTCTGCCCTTGTGTTCACATGGAAAGAACTATACACTGAAATCATAATAGTTAGTTTGCTGGGGTTCGGCAAAATGTAGCCAAGAACAGACGATTATGTCAATAATAACATGAAGGAAATCATGTATAGAGTGTCTGCCTAACTATTTTAGAAGACAAACTCTCCAACAAGAAAAGTAGAAAGATCATTTGTTAGGCTTTACTTATTTGTTTGATCTTCATTTCCATGGGTCCCAGCCTATAGGAGGGGCATTTCCAGGCTCATCCACAGTCTTCCAGTTCCAGGATGCTCTTTAGTCTCGTGTGATGAATCCAGGGAATTACACCTTACAATTAATGAGAAGAGTGAGTAGTGAATAAAATTAACACCCAGTAGAAGTTGTGTTCACTGGGTCTTCAGGGAATCCTGACTTATATCCAACCCCCTAATTCATAGGGATGGAAGTATATTTTGGTAAGAGGAAGATTGAGGTTTATCTATCTATCTATGAAAGGTAGCCATCACCTGCCCCAAGTTCATTGTATCTTATTGCCAATTCTGGTTCCACATCAGAACCACTGGCTCCTGGAAAGGATTTCCATTCCACATTTCAAAGAGGCTTAGCTTCCCTTTGGGAATAGCTTCAGTGCAGGTCAGAGAAACAGCTTCCAGGAACTTTACTCGTTTGGGGGGTTTTTTTGTTGGTGGTGTTTTGGTACCAGGGATTGAACTCAGGGACACTCAACCACTGAGCTACATTCCTAGCCGTGTTTTATATTTCATTTAGAGACAGGGTCTCATTGAGTTGCTTAACACCTCATTGTTGCGGAGGCTGATTTGAACTCACAATCCTCCTGCCTCTGCCTCCCAAGCCACTGGGATTACAGGTGTACACCTGGCTTTTACTCAGTTTTCTTGCGATCGGTCCTTTCCATGCTATCTCCATTGTATTCCAAGCATCTGGGAAACACCAGCACTATCTTTGAAGGAAATCTATCCAGCTGTGACAGTGGGCCTATTTTTGCTTCAAGGTCATTTTCTAAATTTTGCTTTTTCTGCTACACAGGGGAAGGCTTCCATCTAAAATACACCTCGGACCTCCCAGGGTGGCTGGCATTGCAGGTCCTCTCCAGGAGCATCCCTGGCTTGTACCATCTTAGCCAATGAGAATACAGGCAGCCTTGTTTGAATGAAGTTTTTTTTTTGTTTGTTTTTTTGTAATATACACCTTGTTCTCATTTTACATAAGATCTCCCTGTAAGTCTGAGGTCCTTGTTACTCCAGGAAGCCAGTCATATAATCACCTACACCACCTTTGTTAGTGACCTTGCTTGCCTGTCATCCACCCTCCTAAGCAGGAGACATTTTGAAGCTTGCTTTGTTTCCTCTGTGTAAGGGGAGCTCTGTCTGGCAGTACTGTTGTTTTGCTTTCCCATGAGGGGATCCAGAGAGGTCAAACAACTCCTAGGTCCCAGAATCCAGCAGGATACAAAAGAAAATGTCTTTTAAATCTAGAATGATGTCATACTTATAGTCCTAGGAACATTAGCTAATAAGGTAGAGGGACTGGGAACGACAAGGGTGCATGTCTGCACAGCTTCACTAATTACCAGTCAGTCCTGCATAACCTGTGCTCTCCTTTCCTTGGTTTTTAACCAGCAGGATGGGAGAAATAGAGGGCAACCTGCAGGCTCTCTTTTAAACCCTGTTTAACAAGAAGACTATCACCTGGTGCAGCCCCTTAACCTTGCCTCCACAACTGAGAGCCATGAAAAAAATCCTGCCTGAGTATTCAGCACAGGCTTGATTCTAGCCATGGCCAGAGGGGAATGTTTTACTCAGGCCAGCTGTTGGTTTGTTTAAGATAAACTTTACTGGTTTGGCTGATAGTTCTTCCCACTCATCCTTGCAGACCTAGGTTTGATTCGAGTTCAGGACATTTTCAGGGACAGTTTTGG